CTTGGAGTAAGGATCATCCAAGAGCCTCCTCTATCACTTTAGAGTAAAGGTCATCCAAGAGCCTCTTCTACCACCTTGGAGTAAGAGTCTAAGTCAGTCAATCCCATCAAGGAGCTACGCCACCAAGGGAACATCCAAGAGCCTCACTCTCACTGTTTGAAGAGAGTCAATCTTCCCTTATCCTTTGACTAAGTCCTTTGGAGAACATCATAACTTCCTTGCCCATTGAAGAAATGAGAGGTTGTCAAGCTATTTAATTAACTTTAAAGTCACCACAATCTGTTATGACTATTAAACGGCTCTAACTCGTTATAACCGCCNTCCTTGCCCATTGAAGAAATGAGAGGTTGTCAAGCTATTTAATTAACTTTAAAGTCACCACAATCTGTTATGACTATTAAACGGCTCTAACTCGTTATAACCGCCAGACTAGCTATTCAATTACTATACTAAGCCACTATAAATTGTAAGCCCCACCAACACTTGGGGGACATCAAACTCATTTGAACATAATTCTCTCCTCCCCTCTCAAATCTTGTAATCCTGTGCTCTTCTTCCACACCGGAGATAATAAAATTTCAGCGACCATTGTCATTCAAAGTGGACGTAGGTCATATTGACCGAACCACTATAAATCTTGTCTTTTTTTTTCCTTATACTTTAATGTATTTTATATTACTTAATTGACAGGTAATGTACAAATCAATTTTGTGCATCATCAATTGACATTAGGGAGACTATAGTACTAAAATTTACAACTTTTTAGAGTACAAGTTATCATTGAAAAATGACTGATCCATCTTAAAATATTATGTAATATACAGGTATTGAGCTATTTGGAGACAAAGGACGCAATGGCCACTCGCATGTTATTAAAATTACCTATACTCCACCTTGGGTGTTCAAAACTCTATATCTCCTTTTATATTAAAAAATTCGTATATATGCTTAGGGTTTTTTATTTAGTACATCCAAAAATCTTAATGGTTCGACTTTTAATAACCAAATGTGCGATATTATTCACATGTACGAGTGTTTTTCGTTCAGTGGAAAAAGATTGCTTATATAAATTTGATAACCAAAAGAAACAATAAAAGAAATATCTATATCTATTCATCTATATCTAGCTATATTACTATAATGTCAACATCTGTGAAATAAATTATTTTTTATTTTACCCTAAGTCAATTATACCTACATATTTATTTTCACCTAATTTTTGTTTTCTATACCTATTTAACCTTCAAGTTCTTTTGGACTCTTTTAATAATATTATTTGATTTCTAAATTCTTTTGCACTCATTCATTGGTAATCTACTAAGATACAAATTTATATAAAGAAATAAATTCTATTTTATAACTTATTATTATATACATGTAGTTGTCAGATTGAATTCAATAGTTAAATATTTGTCATATTTTTTTATATGCAACAATACCGTATTGTTATAATATAAACAATAGCATTACAATCTCTTTGATAAAAAATATAATGAATCAATAATATTATTTGATGTACAAATACTTAATAATGAAAATCTTATATTGCAACTCCACTATAAACAAAAGAAGAAATGTATAAAAAAGTCGAGGAAATAACTAAAAAAATGACAGATTAAGTATTCAAAAAGAGGTATAATATATCAATAATTATATTTAGCCATAATTAAAATAAAAATTAATTATTCAATATGTAATTTATTATTCAATTTAATTATAAATATAATTTAAATTTTATAAAAAAAAATTATTTAAAAATGTTCTTGTGTAACGCACGTCGTGTCTTGTTAGTGTTAAAAAGATGAGTAATTAAATAATTCACACATTCATTTCTAAGTTTTATAGATCAAATTATAACTTTCAAAGATCAAGTTATAATTAATTATAATTATTTATGTTCGAGCATAAATAACCTTAATCAGTTATAACTTTTCATCTAAAAAATAAACCTTGACTTTTAAATAAATAACTTTTGGTACTATATCAAAATATTTTTTGTTCCGGAGTGTTATCCTTATTGGCACTGGTGGATAGGAAACTTTCATGAACAAATTTATTACACTTCACACAACTTCGTTGAGCTGTACAACAATATTTTCCTATTTGTAAATCATTTGTATGAATGGAAGTAGGGTTTACTATATACAAATAGATCCCTCAACAATTTTTGAAAGACAATCTACGATTTCGATTGACCGAAGTTGAGGAAAATTGCATTGGAGGGAATCTCCTTGTTAAGACCAGACCACCTCCAATACAACTTTTTGTTTTTCAATTACCCAAAAGGTGCTTTTTGCTCAATTTATATCAAGAACATCATAAATTCCAGTACAAATCACGACATACAAGTATGGCTCCCCACAAGAGCAAATGTCAAATGTCCAACTTTACAAATCATCAATGAACAATTTAGAACGTGAGCCTTGGCTGACAAAGTGGCATTTAATTCTTTCTTAAGCAGCATTACTCATAATTACCAATCAATACTCTAATTTAGGAAGTCAAATAAAAATATTATTAAGTAAATCTCAATTTTTATTCTTAATATTATGAATTGGTAATAATGTGGATCTCGCCCTCAAACTGTTGTTCAATTTTCCGTCACAGACTGTTAGCGCTTCATATGAGTTGCACATCATAGGGTTAGCCTCTATCTGATTAATGAAACCTATTTTTAATATAAAAAATGGTGTCAAATTGATTGTAGGCGAAAATCTGCAGTGATGTACATACCTCATTCTCACGCTCGAAACACTTGCACCTCAGGTACTTCAATTTATGATTTGTAACGATGTACATTACTCATCTTTAAGATCGAAACACTTGCACCTCAATTATTTTGATTTATGATAAAAAAAAAATTGAATAGACAGTCTAGGTCAGGTTTACATTACTATCAATTCATAACATTAATGAGACAAGTTAAAATTTTTAATATTTCATGTACAAATTAAGAATCCAAACATATNATGTACAAATACTTAATAATGAAAATCTTATACTGCAACTCCACTATAAACAAAAGAAGAAATGTATAAAAAAGTCGAGGAAATAACTAAAAAAATGATAGATTAAGTATTCAAAAAGAGGTATAATATATCAATAATTATATTTAGCCATAATTAAAATAAAAATTAATTATTCAATATGTAATTTATTATTTAATTTAATTATAAATATAATTTAAATTTTATAAAAAAAAATTATTTAAAAATGTTCTTGTGTAACGCACGTCGTGTCTTGTTAGTGTTAAAAAGATGAGTAATTAAATAATTCACACATTCATTTCTAAGTTTTATAGATCAAATTATAACTTTCAAAGATCAAGTTATAATTAATTATAATTATTTATGTTCGAGCATAAATAACCTTAATCAGTTATAACTTTTCATCTAAAAAATAAACCTTGACTTTTAAAAAAATAACTTTTGGTACTATATCAAAATATTTTTTGTTCCGGAGTGTTATCCTTATTGGCACTGGTGGATAGGAAACTTTCATGAACAAATTTATTACACTTCACACAACTTCGTTGAGCTGTACAACAATATTTTCCTATTTGTAAATCATTTGTATGAATGGAAGTAGGGTTTACTATATACAAATAGATCCCTCAACAATTTTTGAAAGACAATCTACGATTTCGATTGACCGAAGTTGAGGAAAATTGCATTGGAGGGAATCTCCTTGTTAAGACCAGACCACCTCCAATACAACTTTTTGTTTTTCAATTACCCAAAAGGTGCTTTTTGCTCAATTTATATCAAGAACATCATAAATTCCAGTACAAATCACGACATACAAGTATGGCTCCCCACAAGAACAAATGTCAAATGTCCAACTTTACAAATCATCAATGAACAATTTAGAACGTGAGCCTTGGCTGACAAAGTGGCATTTAATTCTTTCTTAAGCAGCATTACTCATAATTACCAATCAATACTCTAATTTAGGAAGTCAAATAAAAATATTATTAAGTAAATCTCAATTTTTATTCTTAATATTATGAATTGGTAATAATGTGGATCTCGCCCTCAAACTGTTGTTCAATTTTCCGTCACAGACTGTTAGCGCTTCATATGAGTTGCACATCATAGGGTTAGCCTCTATCTGATTAATGAAACCTATTTTTAATATAAAAAATGGTGCCAAATTGATTGTAGGTGAAAATCTGCAGTGATGTACATACCTCATTCTCACGCTCGAAACACTTGCACCTCAGGTGCTTCAATTTATGATTTGTAACGATGTACATTACTCATCTTTAAGATCGAAACACTTGCACCTCAATTATTTTGATTTATGATAAAAAAAAAATTGAATAGACAGTCTAGGCCAGGTTTACATTACTATCAATTCATAACATTAAGGAGACAAATTAAAATTTTTAATATTTCATGTCCAAATTAAGAATCCAAACATCTTTTGGGTGCAAAATGAGATTAGCCCAATATGTTCCCAAAACATTGATTGCCAAAATGCTACAATCACCAATGAACAATTTAGAACGTGAACCCCGATTGACAACATGACATTGAATTCTTTCTGAAGCAGCGTTACTCATAATTACCAATCAATACTGTAATTTAGTAAGTCAAATAAAATTAACCATATGTAGAAACAACAATATGGTTAATATGTTCTCCAAACACTGATTGCCAAAATGCTACAATTACTTATAGTCAATTCTTTGGGGAGTACAAAAGTCTTGTTAAGAAACTAGGGTAATGTACGGTCTAAATTCAATGTCATATGTTAATATCCTTGCTTAACAACCATAACATTTAAGGAAAAATCTCTCTTATAAAATCTTCGTCATGGCAAGTGCAATAATTCTTGGCCAAATTTTCGGATTTCTTGAACTTTCTTCTAGGGTTTCTTACAGTTTTCCAACTCGAGGCCAAGTAACATGAAATTGGGTGCACTACATTAAACTAAAGATGCAATCGCAGTAACATGGAATTAATGGTATTGAGCTGGACTCGATTTATTTTTTGGACCCGGTAAGAACTTGTTGCTTTTCCCCCAATACACCAACAAGCGGCTTTATATCCTCTGGCTCATTCATAAAACTTAGGGACTCATAACTATCTCCAACAGTTCCAACACGAATGGCTTGAATATCATGCATGGGATCATAAGCACTTAATAAATCAACATTAACGGTATCAGTCCTATGAATTGTTGCTGCAACACTAGGGTTCAGCATCTCTTGTTGTGCCATTTGTGGTTGGGAGCGGCAAATTGCAAGTTGATGGAGAACAATGTCAAGTTCGCGTTTATGGTGGGCAATCTGACGCTGCAGTTGAGAAATCATACGGTAACATCCTCCAACTGGATCGTTGGCTCGAATATTCGCTTGCAAAATCATGGTCTTCATGGCAATTTCTTTCTCAAAAGGTGCCAAGTTTCGTAGCACCTTCATGATATTGCTTACACCAAAGAGCTTGTGAGCGTTGAGGAACTGTTTTTGGTGGTCCGGAGGGAAGTATGGGGCTAGAGGACAATTGGGCGCACATTTTCTACGTTGGTATTTGCATGCAGCACAGGCTTGTGAACTAGTGGTGCCTCCTGGTCCTTGGCCTACCCTAGTGGTGGTGGGGGTGGCAGCAATGGCAATGTGGTGATTGCCGGGTGATGTTGTTACTGGACCATCACCAACCATACAAGTGTGGTTGGTTTTGGTGGTAATACTCATCTTTTGTGCGTTTTTGACTATGTAGAAAATATAGGCCCCGGTTTGATGCCGATTGCAAAGTCCAGTATTCTCTCAAGAGGGAGAGAGAAAAAGGCGGAGAAAATCTAAGTGCTGATGCGGTTTCGTAAAAGGATGTGTGCAGATAAATCCGGGACGTGTTCTTATGGGTCTCCAATTAGTGGGCGTTTGTGTGAAATTGAATTCTCTTTGCTTTGCTGGGAAGTTTATCCTTTTCTTTTTTGCTTTGTTTTTGGTTCATTTCAAATATAAGAAAGGAAATAAAAACATTTTTGGAGTTTAGGGTTTGTTTGGTTGCCGTATTAAAAATAAATGAATTAAATAAAATAATTTAGTTTAATACAATATAGATGAAAAAAAGATAAAATTAAATAAGGTATTAGAATAATATGTAATTTTATCTAGAGTTAGACAATACACAACATAAATGTTGAATAATAGTTATTCAATCTAATCAGTTATTTGATTAGAAAATTATTTCATCATATTAATGTTGAATTGATAAAAATAATCTCAATCAGTGTTTGTTACATTAATGACAGTTTGATTTTATCATTTAAGGGGTTATAATAGTAAATGTGTAAAGTCATATATTTGAATTGAATTATAATATTACCTTTCTTAGTGGTGTTTACATACTTCCATAATACATGTCTATCGTATAAAAAATATATAATTAGTATACATTTTTTAAAGTAATAAGATATCAAATTTACTTACCAAACAAGTATTAAACCTATTAAATAAAAAATAGTACAATTCAATATTATAGTTCTTCACTTCTTCTCGAAAATAAAAATGTATTTTAATTGATCATGCAACCAAATTTTTCGAAAGAAAAAAAAAATGAAAAGGATGTAATGCATTTCTTTCAATATCCCATCACCCTAGAGATATAGTCCTATTTATTTAAAATGGTGAAAATATGGTATTAGTTTCCAAAAGTTTTTTGATTATTCCCCAAACAATAGGAGAGTTTCCATGTACTAGTGGGAACGTAAAATTGAACTGAACACAAATTCCGGCCTCCAGAACACTGGTTTCTATTTTGGTATCTTGGAATGTAAACCACCTGTTACTTAAATCCTAGTAACAGTAAACCATTTTTTTCTATTTCAATGACAGAAATAAATTTGTACAAGATTGGAAGAAGACGTACGTATGCCGACAATAAAATTTGAGGTGATCTAACCAAATATTCGATTATTTAAAATGCAAATCCTGGTAACAATAGAATTGTTACACTAGTAAAATTCTTCTTATTGTAAGTAAATGAATTTCAAATGAAATTCTCCCGTACTCCCAGTACGTCTGCTGATTTTGGGAATAAACACTCGTCTATTATGTAAAAATTCTAATGTTATTGAGATATAATTTAGAGATTTAATAATTTTAGTTATTAGACAATCAGTGAGTCCCAATATTAAACACATTTAACTACCAATCTAATAGAGAGATTGTATTAAATTCTTAAATTATGTCTCTCAATTATGTCTCAAATAACATTAGTGCAGTAAAAAACACAATATAAACCAAGCAAAATACCAAATTTCCTCAGACCCAGAAAGATTACTTAGTTGTATTATTAGGTATTGTCACATGTTCCTGGGAAAAGAAACATCTACCCCTAGGCTACACAACAAAAAATCATTAAGTCATATAAATAAACATAAAAAGGGGGGAAATAAGATTTTTTTTTTATTTTTTTTTATATTTTTTTAATGACGATTCCAAATAAGTTCAACATCTTTCTAAAATATTGGTGTACCCCTTAGAACCACAAAATAATTTTGCTATATATTCTATCAAACCATAAGTTATTCAAGAAATATCAAACTGAAACTAATTTAAAACTTAATCAAATCCGTTACTAAATATTACTATTTAAGAAGTGAAAAAAAAAACATTAACTTAATATATTTGCTGGATTTACTACGAATGCACTTGGAATTAAATATATTTTAAGATTTTCAAAAACCTATTTTTAGTGTGTTAATGTAGGAAAATGCTACACAACCTAAATAAAACCCAAAAAATTACAATTCAAATGCATATTATCCTTTAAATGAATAGTGAGACCCACGTGACTGAAAGCTATATTCAATACAAAAAATTAAATATTAATTCAATAACATTTACATTTTAAAAAGTTAAAATTCAAATGAAGATAGAGAAAAGACATGTAGGTGTGAATTGATGAGATTGTTTGACATTGAGGATTGTGTTAATGTGTTGATTAAGTTGTCTAAGACATGTAGGTGTGTATTGATGAGATTGTTTGACATTAAGAATTGTGTTAATGTGTTGATTGAGTTGTCTAATATTTAGATTCGTGTAGAAAATATGATGTTTTGAGTAAAACAAAAATGGGAGGATTTTTTACAATTGGATCAAAGTAAATAAAGATTGGATCAATCTTGACCATTGTTGTATTTTAATAAGTTAAGAATTCAACTTCCTAATTATAATATTAGATAGACTAACTAATGCATGTGCCTAAAGACACTGTATCCTAAAAACTAAAATTATTTCTACACAATATTTGACACACTTGCTGTCTACCAAAACTTGACATATATGGCAAGTATCATCTTAATAAAAGAACCAACATGATTTTAATAGAAAACAAAATTATTTAATAACTAAATTATAAAATGATCAAAGTAATTTAAATATTTTTGGAAGTCCAATTTTTAGGAGAAAATTCTTGCCAAATCGTCAACCATGACGACCTCCATTTATTTCAAAAAAATTACACTTATAGATGAGAGAATCTAAATATCCTTACATTACCAACTAAGATTTTAGCCCCCTAACATTTCTCCTTGCATCATATAGCAACTGGAGTATTTGAAGGAACCTAATGAATTAACGCAATGGGCAAGAAAGTAAAATTTTAGCAGAGAATTTCAGTCATCCAATTAAAGTTAGACAAATTTAGATAAACAGGGGACACAAAAAGTTCAACATAAGTTTATATCTGATGATGCCTAAAGTAAATCTCAAGTGTTAGCTCAGGAGTTCACCTCAGATCGGGAGGTCAGCCATATTAACTAAGGTCAGAAGACAAGGGTTGAATGTCTCTTGAGGCAAGGCACCGGCTGGATAACCACAAGAGGTTCCTAAAGCGTTAGGAAGCTATAATCAAGGCACCTAATCTCAACCAACCAAAATCTTCTCCTAAAATTAAGAAAAATCCCATGAAATAAGGGCAAGAATCTCGGCCAAGATTTCACTGAATAGGGAACAACCCTATAAATATTATGTAACACCCCTGAAGAAAAGAGAGGATCCTAGAGGCAAAAATTAGTCATTGTACTCTTGTAATCATCATTATTGAAAGACAAGGAGCAAAAATCTCCATTAAAGAGTGGATTAACCGAGCTCCCGAGCTGATAAACCACTATACTTCTTCTATGTTAATTCTCCCAGCCCCTAGAAAAATATTTATTTCATTATCACACCACCATCATTGCAAAGCATAATTACGATTCATTACTCATACAATTTGGTTTACACCATCAGTTTGGCGCTGTCTGTGGGAACGACTGTTCTTGTTACAAATAAAGCTGATTTTCTAGTGATTGATTGTATCAACGCGAAACATGAGCTAAAGTCAGATCAATCCTCTACGGATGCAAGATCAACAGGAAGCCGCAAATAGCAGATAACCTGAAAATGTGCAAGAAGCAGATCCCCCCATGGGGAGCCTTCCCATGAATAATGAGATGGAGTCCCTTCGTCTTGTCAATGAACGTCTGATAAAACAGAACGAAGAGCTCTTAAAGCTCCTACAACGCCCACAGGAGGCGCGACCGGCCCAAGGAGGCCAGAATAATCCACCACCAAGGGAGCAACCGCATCTCGACCCCCTCAGAGAAGTTAATGAGGTGGGAGAGAATAGTCAAACATTGGGGCAAGAACCTCGCCTATCCCTTAGGAATGGTCACAACGAGGAAGTGCAAAGTCAATGTAAGGAAGGGGAGAGGAGCAACTTATTCCCTTATCAACAGGAGAGAAGAGAACATCACTAGGAGTAACGTTTTAAAGACATCCAGTAAGAGCTCAGCCTGATGAAGGAGACAGTGAAGAGTAAGGCCCCAGTCACTATGGATGCCTTGGTACAGCAAACCAAATCCCTATTCACTGTTGGGGTGCTGCACTTCCCTCTTCTACATAAATTCAGAATACCGCAGGTGGATGCTTTCGATGGGACAAAGGATCCCGTGGACCACCTCAACACCTACAAAAACCAAATAGAGTTGCATAGATATCAAGATCCAGTGAGATGTATGGTCTTTGCTATCACCCTGAAGGGCTTAACCTTAGCATGGTTCAACAGACTCCCCCCCCAGCCTCGATCTCCTCTTTTAAAGAGCTGTCAATCTCGTTTGTGTCCCATTTCATTAGAGCTCGGACCTATAGGAAACCAAGCTACCATTTGTTAAATGTGAAACAGGGACCTGATGAGAACCTACGGTCTTATGTCCAACGGTTTAACTCAGAATCCTTAAAGGTGGATGTCCCAGACGAAAAATTTGCTATTACAGCCTTCATAGCAGGTCTGGGAGTTCAGTTAAAGACTGGTATGACGGAGGCGCTTGCCAAAGTAGAAAAGTACATAAATGGCGAGGAAGCGCTCCTCTCCAAGGTCGAGAGCTCTTCATCAAGAAAGGAGAAAGGGAAGGAAGAAAAGAAGAGAGAATGAAGTCCCAGGAAGGAAAGAGAGCGAGGCAGGTCTCCAAGAAGAGATAGAGAGCATTCCCCGAAGAAAAGAGGAAATGTCAGGGATCACCTCGGCCCTCCACAACCAGAGTTACAACCAAGGTATGCACCCCAGCAGCTCACCCCTTTGACTGCTACGGTATCTTAAATACTGTATGAGGTGCAAAATGAGAGGTTCTTAAGGTGGACACCCCGGATAAAAGCAAATCCGACAAAAAAGGATCCTATGAAGTATTGTGACTTCTACAGAGACCATG